TATGTTAATCATATCTGAGATTTTTTTTCTTTGCAGCTCGTCTGCATCTCTTTTCTGTTGCAAGCCAACTAATTGAAAAATAAGTAAATAAACAAACAGAAGTATCAGTAGCCAAGGTGGACATTTAAATAAAATCCAGCATCTTTGGATAGGCATATCAAATTAACTTGTTTATTTAAGAATCTTCTCCCTTTCTAACCCTTCCACCCCCCAACTAACATTCATTTTGTTTGTTTGTTTGTTTCAAACATGCTGTAAGCCCACACATATATACACGAAATCTAAGACAGGACTGCCCTTCTTGAAGAAATTTAGATTTAGTTCTGTGACTGGGTGCGATACCCTTTCAAAAATACATATATTTAACTCATCAAGAATCCAGTTAAGACAGTAAGTCTGAGAAGTCCACATTTGTGCCCTGAAAGTTACGCATCTTTTGATCCTCTTTGGGACTAGACTCCCCCCCAGTCACACCACAAACCAGAACATTGTTCTGTTCTGGTTTCCGGGCAATTCCATTCACATTTTAACCAAACACATACCTGCCTATCCAGAAGCATGTAAAACTTGTTTCTTGGAAATATGTGGACACTATTCATATATCATACACTTAACAGCATGAACCTTGAAGCTTCTGACAAATAAATTAGCTGGAAGATGACAGTTATTGTTTGATAAAGCTCCTGATTAATATGGTCAAACCCAAAGGCAAATAGTTTCTGGAGAACCTGGAAAATAAATGTTTTAGCGATGACAGTAAAACCAGTACAGTAATGGGTGCTTGGTATTTCACCTGCACTTTTGCTGTCAACACTAAGACTGCATGCATGAGAGAGAGTGGCTCAAACTTGAAAAATTGTACTCACCGACTGTGCTTTACTCAGAAATAAGGTGTTAATTAAGCAAACTTACAATGCAGAATGCTCATTCAGAAGCGTGCTAGAAAGGCTGCTTTTGTCCTAAGTCAGTCAGTCACTAAGGAAGGACTTCTCCCCTCAAAAAATGGATCAGTTCAAACCTTCTCACTGTCTACATCTGATCAAATATGGTAATTGCCGTACTTTACCTAGCAGCTTAAAACTGTTATTCATGTATCTCACCAACATTTATGTTTATATACTGAGTGTGCAGGGAATCCCCCATAGAGATATGGGCAAACCCAGGCAAACTATACACATGCACCAGAGAAGGGGTGTCTTGAAACTACATCTCCCACAGACAAAGGATGCTTCAGAGCATCCTGCTGCCTCAGGAGGGAGTAAAAAGGCAGCAATAGGTCACTGCTGCCACTCACTTTTCCTTTCTGCGGTAGCTCTGTAGCTTTGTGCAGGGATTAGCAGGAATTTACTGTGACTTGTAAGGGATTTTATCAGGAGTGATGAAATTTAGAAGTACACTATAATGAGTCCTGACCTTAAGAGATGGGAAGCTTTGCTATGGATTTGAAAGCAGAACCAGGATTTTAGTCCAAAGACATCAACAACTTTCCAAGGCTTCCACATGAACTAAACACATGCCATTCATTTAGTTTATGACCATGCCTCTGGGTTTTTAATTATGTAGATTAAGGCCTATATTTGCAAGAAAAATTAGTATGTGTACACGGAGAATATAATTCCTACCCCATCTAATGGAACAGTAAATCTCTATACTCCTCTAATAATTTGCTAATAAGTATTATCATTATATATTTCATTATATTGTTTATTGTTTTGATATTATTTATTTACATTTATTATTATTAATTATTTTTATTTGTTATTTATTATTTCAACAACTTTAATATTTGGGTCTGTTTCAGAAAATTCCCCTGTTTAAATAATACCGTATCCAAAATATGTGTTCCTCACACATGCAGCACTCTCCTTAACACACTGCCAAAATTGTGACACAGCAGGTCCATGCTCCTAAAGGCCAGCAAAGCTTATACCCACAGGAAGGCTGAGCCTATCTGCTAATTGTCTGCATCTGGACAAATCCAGAAAGCTTGTGGGTACACAGGTGCCAGGAGCACGGGGAAATGGCAGGGATACAGCTAGCAGAATCCCTTTCTGGATCAGGATAGCAAAGAATAGTCATTGCAGGGCATCCATTACATCTGCACCTGGGGCTGGGGCACACACCTGCGAGGGGGCAGACCTGGCTTCACCAGACTCCTCACTTCAAAAGGAATTTAATCAATATCTCCCTGCTCCCAAAGATGGTGCCCTGCTCGATAAAGCTGCAGGGTAAAAAGGAAGGAGAAGAGACAGAATTTGGCTGCCCTCCTGCTAGTCAAGTGCTCTAGCCAGCCAACTACATAATACTTCTTTATTTGAATTTACGTTAAAAGTGGATTAAATCCTTCAGAAAACAAAATTTTCCAAGTTCACAGATACTTATAGCCATGAATTAACACCAAGATTTTGAAAATAAAAACAATAAAAAAAAGTGTCTACAAAAGGAACAGTAATAAATATTCTTTTTTATCAGGGAGACATACATGATTATTGGTGAGTACACTATTAGGAATTATTTTACCTATTCATAGAATCATAGAATCAACCGGGTTGGAAAAGACCTCTGAGATCATCAAGTCCAACCCTTGATCCAACACTGCTGTGGTTATTAGACCACGGCACTCAGTGCCACATCCAGTCTCATCTTAAAAACCTCCAGGGACGGAGAATCCACCACTTCCCTAGGTAGCCCATTCCAATGGCTGATTACTCTCTCTGTAAAAAATTTCTTCCTAATATCCAATCTAAACCTCCCCTGGCACAGCTTAAGACAGTGCCCGCTTGTCCTACTGCTGGCTGCCTGGGAGAAGAGACCAACCCCCACCTGGCTACAACCTCCTTTCAGGGAGTTGTAGAGAGTGATGAGGTCTCCCCTGAGCCTCCTCTTCTCCAGGCTGAACAAGTCCATCTCCCTCAGCCTCTCCTCATAGGACTTGTGCTCGAGTCCCTTCACCAGCCTCGTTGCTCTTCTCTGGACCTGCTCCAGCACCTCAGTATCCTTCCTGAATTGAGGGGCCCAGAACTGGACACAGTACTCGAGGTGTGGCCTCACAAGTGCTGAGTACAGGGGAAGAATCACTTCCCTGCTCCTGCTGGCCACACTGTTCCTGATACAGGCCAGGATGCCATTGGCCTTCTTGGCCACCCGGGCACGCTGCTGGCTCATGTTCAGCTTCCTGTCAATCCAAAATCCCAGGTCCCTTTCTGTCTGGCTGCTCTCCAGCCACTCTGTCCCCAGCCTGTAGCGCTGCATGGGGTTGTTGTGGCCAAAGTGCAGGACCCGGCACTTGGCCTTGTTGGACCTCATCCCTTTGGAATCAGACCATCTCTCCAGCTTGTCCAGGTCCCTCTGCAGAGCTCTCCTGCCTTCCAGCAGATCAACATGCCCCCTCAACTTGGTGTCATCTGCAAATTTGCTGATGGTGGACTCAATCCCCTCATCTAAATCATCAATAAATATATTAAACAGAACTGGGCCCAACACTGGTCCCTGGGGGACACCACTAGTGACCGGCCACCAACTGGATGCAGCCCCGTTCACCACCACTCTCTGGGCCCGGCCCTCCAGCCAGTTCCTAACCCAGCACAGTGTCCCTGTCCAAGCCGTGGGCTGCCAGCTTTTTCTGCATTATGCTGTGGGAGACGGTGTCAAAGGCTTTGCTGAAGTCCAGGTAGACACATCCACAGCCTTCCCCTCATCCACCAGGCGGGTCACCTGATCATAAAAGGAGATTAGGTTGGTCAGACAGGACCTGCCCTTCCTAAACCCCTGCTGGCTGGGTCTGATCCCTTGTCCATCCTGTAGCTGTTGTGAGATTGCACTTAGGATGATCTGCTTCATAACCCTGCCAGGTGCTGAGGTCAGGCTGACAAGCCTGTAGTTTCCCAGGTCCTCCTTGAAGCCCTTTATGTGGATCGATGTGACATTCGCCAACTTCCAATCATCTGGGACCTCCCCAGTGAGTCAGGACTGTTGGTAAATGGAGAGCGACTTGGCAAGCTCTCCCACCAGCTCCCTCATCATCCTAGGATAGATCTCATCTGGTCCCATAGACTTGTGAGGATTTATTGCAAGACATTGCTATAAAGCAACATTTTAAAAACCTTCTCTCTCTTTTAAATGGAATCAACTTATTTTGCGTTTACACCAGAACTGCATATAAATTACATCCTAACACTCAGGAAAAAAACGTTACAGAACTATCAGTTCTGTATATTATATGGGAATAATAAATTTTTTTAAAGAAATTTTGGGCAATATTGGTGGAGTATTTTGTTTCACTTTATCTAAAATCATTTAACTCACTTAAATTTAGTTTATTCACTCAAATTCTTTGCAGTATTGTCATGTTACTGTAATTTGAAGGACTGTATACTCTCTTGCTGAAGAGCTTTCCAGAAACTATTCATTCATTCTGCAGACTTGTTCACTTTAAATTTTCCCCTTGAGCTCATCAAAGTCCAACTTTTCCAGCTTTTGAAATTCCAACTTATTAATGAAAATTTCCTAGATTAAATGAATAAAAATTAATTAACCTCTACAAAAAAAGCCAGTAACAAACCTATGTTTGAGATGGTTTTTGCCATTTGACCTTTTCCCTTTGTGCTGGTTTAAAGGTAAACCGGCACAGGAAATGAACCCAACTCAAAAGAGATTATAAATCAGAATAACAATTTAATAAAAATAATACAATAAATACAATTATACAGATGAACAATTGGTTTTAGCCCACAAAAACCCAGATGTATAACCTGGCACTCTGGGGTACGAACAGAATGTTGTTTGTTGGCTCCCGTGCTGAGCCCCACCTGGTCCCCTGAGTCCAAAAGTAAAAGGAGAGGAAAAAATCTGTTGGTACGAGTGATGGTCACAGTCTGGTCAAGAGTGGTGGTCGCAGTCCAGTCGAGGTTCTGGTCCTCCTCTGGATCCCACAAGTGGTAGCAGAAGTCCCAAGACCCCAAGATTATATACCCTCCGGTTCAGGCAGGAATGCCCAGTACCTCCCCCAGGGCGGAGAGTTCCATAGTGGGTGACTATGAGTCGTGGGTGTGAGGACAGGAACATCCTCCTATCTCACAGGCCTCTTAACACCCAGCTTATAGCCTGAGGGGTCAGGAGTGCTCTGGGCAGCTGCTGCAAATGGTCTGTTGCTAATAGTTTCTGGGAAATGACACAGAGGGTGTAGAATACACAGGTTGGGTTACACCCACACAGTGATGAATAGGTCCCAGCTGTTCTAGCTAGAATACCCTTCTGGTTTGGCATAATGAGCAGTTAAAATCTGTGCCATCTTAAATAATTAATATGAAAAAAAAAAGGAGGAAGAGCAACAGGTAATTCCAGCAAGGCTTTATCCTGGTTGAGTCACTTATAGGATTAAAACACAAGTGGAAATGAACTGTCCCATAGAACGTACACACTTAACTCCATTTCAATTTCATCAGATTAAGTTAAAAAAACCTTAGATGAAAAAGAGCAAGCACTCCTAAACACATACTTTCATGTGTAAACACATGATTTATTATAATAACAGAAAATGTTGCTATGAAAATTAAACCTTTCCCAGAGGAGTAAAATTGAACCTGCTTTGACTTCTTTTGTAAGACATGCCAAATTAATTTCTGTGCTCTCTGATCTCACTCAAATGAAGTAATTGTTTTATGCCCCAAAGGTATGAAAATAACTGTTTCCTTGTGTGTTTAGAAATGAGCAACACCTAGGAACGAACCAGTCGCAGGTTCCCCAAGCAGACTACTGGTGGCCTGCACCTCATTTTGTCTTTCTGATGACGGACACCCAAGAGCCAACACGTTCACCTCAAATCCCTTTCACAGATCACTCTGGTGGGCATAGTCAGACACTGTAAGATTTGATTTCTTTCTCTCTGATAGTCTTTTAAAGGGATGGGATGGAACGACACACTACCTAAATAATTGCAGAGCTAAAGTACATAATTTTCCAGCTCAGATTCCAGAAGTGAATCTCCCACTTCCCAGAAGGGCGTGGGTCCGAAGAAGGGCCACAAAGATGATTAGAGGGATGGAGTACCTCTCCTACAAGGAAAGGCTGTGAGAGTTGGGATTCTTCAGGCTGGACAAGAGAAGGCTCTGGGGACACATTATTGCAGACTTTCAGTACTTAAAGGGGGCTTATAAGAAAGATGGGGACAAACTTTTTAGCAAGGCCTGTTGCTATAGGACAAGGTATGATGGTTTTAAACTAAAAGAGGGTAGGTTTAGACTGAATATTAGAAAGAAGTATTTTTAAAAATGAGGGTGGTGAGACACTGGCACAGGTTGCCCAAAGAAGTTGTGCATGCCCTCTACCCAGAAACATTCAAGGCCAGGTTGGATAGGGCTCTGAGCAACTGGATCTAGTTGAAGATATCTCTGGACAGGGAACTGCAGGGGAACTGAACTAGGTGACCTTTAAAGTTCTTTTCCAACCCAAACTATTCTATAATTCTTTAATTCTAATCAGCAGCCAGTCTAGACTCCTACTACAACTACTTCCAATTTCAGTAAAGAATAAAAAAAAGCCCCAAGAGCAGGAACCAGAAGCTATGGCTGCTCCTATCCTACACATTTTATGACTAACCATAATATTAGAAAAATATTCTACACTCCTTTTCTGACTTCAGATTTTTCATCTTCCCTTGCTTATTGGCACAGATTTAGAAAGGGAGGTGAAGAGTATTCTGTCTTAACCAGGGACTAGCCTAAAACACTACATATTTTCTAGCTATAAATAGATGATGCCTTAGTTCTTAGAGGCAGGTGCTGTGCTCAGGAGAAAGTCCTAGCCATGGGCTGCATATGAAGAGTAGCACTTTATTAAAGCAACATTCAAAACCCTGTGAAGGGCTGGACTTAGGAAACACTTTTGTAATTTTTCTTAATGCTAATACTAGTCTGTTCCTTGTACAGCATGCAACATTCTAATCCTATTCAACACTCTGAACTCTTCCCTATGCACTGTAATTTTATGTTCCAGATACTAGAAAACTGAGTGTTACTGTCTGCATAACTGAGAAGAGCCCATATGTCTCAGATACTGTATTTATCCAACAACATAGATAGCAAGTAATACCTCAACCTTCAATAAGCATTTGAGGAACATATCAAATCTGGAAAACAACATCTCAGATGTGAAATCCCGTGGTTTAAATTTCTTGTCACAGGTAAGTAACTAAGTAACAGGTAAATCCTAAGTAACTCTTAGGATTGCAGATCTGTTTCTGCAATTAAAGAATGAATCCTTAAAGCTTTTTAAGGTAGTTTTAGCTGTTTTCGGATGCTCCAATTCTTCTTCAGTTTCTTCTTTGAAAAGATTTTCTGGTGAAAGATACAAACTAGACTAGAATGTAAATAAATGAACACCAGAAGAAAATTTGTTTCTGAAAGTTACTTCTTAAAATGCAGTCATGACACCAGTTGTAAAGTTATTTTTCATTTTATATATAAACACAAAACCCAATATGCATTATTTTATTTAAATTGTTATCTCTGACCTAGTTTCTTAATTATCTCATAATGCAACACTCACTTCTGAGGTGCTCCCAAAGTGTGTTCAACCTGTCTAGCTAGACTGACCTTGTGTATCATCTTTTGTACAGTGAACATTGAGAAAATAACACAGTAAAGTCACTTGCTTCCTCCCAATAAAAGTGATATTGGAAATTTATCACCTGCCATAGCCTTTGGGTACTAATTCTCATGTAGCATATATTGTGCCAACAAATACAGAAGTGCCAACATGAGTCCTCCTAGCTTTTAACATCTAATAAATTAGCAGAAGAGGGCTTCCCCAGTCCCAGAATCAAACCTAGCACACATGCATAAGTAATGTATAACTCTCCTATTTCCTGACCAACAAAAATGTTCCAGAACAGTGAACCCTACAGAAGATCTTTGCTTGCCAACATTTAAAAGTGCTCATACTCCCAGCAGTACAGTTGGTTTCAGTGGAAGCTCAAGGAAAGCTTACTGATGACACAAGGACAGAAAATGCATCAAGACACAGCTTGTTTGCAAACCCCACATTAGCTCTTACCAGCATTTTGCAATTCATAAAAGGAAATACCTACCAAGAAACATGATAAGAAAAGAGGCAGCAAACTTATACCAACAGGAGGGGGGTAAGGAGCAACAACTTAACCTGAAGATGTTATATGCTTCTGCAGAATTTTCTTTCACTAGACAAGAAGCATATCTCATTCTTAAATATACAATATGTGAATGGTATGGCTGATGACTAATTATTCAGCTCAACTTCAAATTTAATAATCTAATACTGGAAGAAAGCATCTATAATGTAATTATGGTGTTTATTAGGCAACTAACAAACAGGTTAAACCCATGCCTTTTTTGTTGGTGTCCTGTATATCATCTAACAATAATTTATTATATACTCATGGTTTACAACCCTCACTTGAAGCTACCTGGTCAATAAGTAGGTTGAAACAGGCATGCTGTAGAACTTGGAGTGGCTCCATATGAGGTAGATGGTGTGAAACAAAGGTGGGATTAAATTACGGATCTTCGGAAATTTCATCTTCTGAAAGAGCTGAACATATTTTTCCAGTAGCCTCAGATACAGATCAATACCCTGGGCTTTTACAAGTGCTGTAAAAATATAAAAGGGAAATTTCTACATCTTAAGACATGATCGTTTCCAAGCTAACCAAGCCTCAATGAGGAATGCAAGGAATTTATTTATTTAGAAGAGAAAGATATGTAGGCATGTTACAGCCAAAGATTACTCATGAAACTGCAGAGATGTTCATCAAGTAGCTATGACGTTTCCCATTCCACTTCTGGTAGCCAAGGATGCTTAACACCTTTCTAGAATGTCTGGTGTTCCTCTCACTGATGCCAACAAGACCAAGGGGAAGCAGGAAACACTGTAGATGCCTAGGTCATGGAAATGTGAAATTTCTACCTGGAATAAAAGAAAAATAAGTCTGAAGTCTGTAATCATTTTAAAGAGGGTGTGTGTTGGACAGGCCAGGTCTGATCACAAGAGGCCTAATTATATATCTGTTAATATTCCTGAACAATCTGGCACCAAGTGCATTCTGACATTCTGAAAAAAGGCTGTGTTCCACTGCACTTCCAGTGTTATGGTCAACAGCTTGACCTTTTTCATCAAAGGGGAAAAGGACTCCACATTTTCTTCAAGCTGGATGTTTAACAAACACTGACAACTTAATTATTTTCACAGATTGTAGAAGTTTCTGCTGTTTTGCCCTTCAGCAAGAAGGCACAACGCACATGCTCTGGGCTCCTGCTGGCATGGGAGAACACAGGAAGGATTCGGACTCACACAAGCAGTTGGGTTTGGTCTCTGTTCAACACAGCTCTGTTCTTTTAGTGCTCAAAACTTTTATTAAAATGAAAGCTGTAGAGCAACACTAGCCCCTACAGGTGGCAAGGTCCTGGTGAATAATGTCTTTCTCTCCATTTCGTGGTAGGTATTTCACACATCTCTGGCCTCACAAGTTCAGGAGATCTGAAATTTTTGTACTCTGTCACTGTCACTATTTGCTAACTAAAGGCATCCGAGGAAATACAGACGTTTCAATCCTTTCTTCTAGTCATACATCAACACAAAACCTGTTTCACTGTATTTCAATTCACTAATACAAAATTAAAACCAAAATTCTAACACTAGGATTAAAAAAAAATAAAAATAAAGATATTGGAAATGTAAATGTGTGAATACTTTAAGGTTTTATTATACTTTATCAATGATCTTTAACCATGACTAAAATAGGTAAGAAAATACTTGTAAGTGTAAGCTTTTTGCAGAGCTAGTATCTCCTAAACTGAGTAACATTTTAGAAGGAGCTGGTATTTTATTATATTATTATAAAGTTTTTATTATATTTTATATATTTTATATATATTTATATATTATTTATTATAATAAAGTTTATTATATTATAAGAAAGTTTAATTTTACACACAAAGTATCTTATCAGCTAAATATTTACTGATAACTGCTTTATTTAATTTCTTTTAGCAGTAGAATTTATCTATCTACAGATTTACTGCACCTAAAGA